ATCATGCGGGATGTAAGTCGAAATTGAGGGTTGGGTGTCTCAACGACCATGATGCTAATTTATTTTATCCAACAATCCCACACACACATCTGTTCGACTGAAGTTTGTGGGTAGCTTTATTGAAAACCCTCACGAGACAACACTCTTCTGCTAGGGTAAACCTAGTAGTTCAACGGCTTGTTGCATAAGCTAAATGCAACCAAATGACCAACGAAAGTGGTATTAGAAATAGATTTACATTTAATTGTTGTTGTATTACTAGGGACTAGCAACATTTAGGTTGGGGGTGTGATTAGTGCTTAAAATTAGCATTTTACTGTGCCTTTTTGGGACTAATTGTACTTTGGTGGAGTTTAAGTAAGGACATTTCAGGTCCTAAAGTGAACAAAGGCTCAAGGACAAAAAATATCACACTTGAGTGTAACACTAGTGCATTAGGGAACAAAATTGGAGAAGGTTGGAACAAAGCAAGAACGTTCGAACGCCAAATCATGTTCAAACATCCACTTGAACTATGAGAAGACTAGACTGTTGGGAAATGGCGTGTTGCAATCAAGAAGGAAGACCCTGAAATACTTGAGCCCTACGTCGAACGCCAACTCACGTTCGAACGTCCACTTGATTTGATTGAAGACTAGAGTGATGAGTGCAAAGAGCCAAGATATGCATGGAGTGTGGAAAAAGATCTTCACAGAAGACCATAGGCCACTCGAGTGAGGAGGTCAGGCCCCATCTGGTGTTCGAACGCCCACAAATCAAAAATAGCATAAACGTTCGAACGCCTGTAAAGAAAAAAACAGAGACAATGTTCGAATGTCCACCACTAGCAGGCTACAGAGTAGTTGGTTTTTCACTTGGACTTGGGCAGCATACACTATTTCTTCACACTCCCTTGTCTCCCCCTCCTCCTTGCCTATAAATACTCCACTTGGGAGAGCCTTTGAGGGGGGAGGATGTTCTTGTAGAAGACTATAACTTGGTTTGTAGGGCTTAGACTACACCAAGAACAAGTCGAGAACTTGATGGAGGCTTGAACTCCCACTCATGTAGTTAGATGTATGTTATATTTGCTTGTATCAAGGGAGTTAGTTCATATGTTAGTTGAGGAACCAACCCTCCATTTCATGGTTGAGGAAGCCACCCTCCAAATGTGACTAGCTTTCTTTTACTTCTATTGTTCATGTCTTTCACTTCCATTGCTTGAGCTTCCTTCTTCCTTAGAGGAGTGAAACTCTTCCACTTTTGTAGAGTTTTACCATAGCCGTGAAGGGTGGAACGTGATTCACTTATTCTTTGGTGATGATTGGCTCTTCGCTTATTGTACTTTACCTTGTAAGTTCTCTACTTGGAGGGATGAGTATCACTCACTTTTCTAGCTTTACCCAAACCATGAAGAGTGAGTAGTTTCTCATTCATTCTTTAGTAAGAGGTGATGAACATGTATTGATTATCCATAAGTTATATTTCTGCATTTCCTTTATGCTTTAATGCTTTATATTCCACTTGTTTATTGAATGATTGATTGTATCTAGCAAAGCTAAGGTACTTTGTGTAACTAGGGGTTCTTTCTATGTCACGGATGACTCTTGCATGGAAAGACCCGTTGGTTCAAGGCAAGTACCTGGCTAGATCTTCATGACAACATTTCAATCTTCACCATTATTGTGCTTTATCTAAAGAATGGAACATTAATGCCATGGTTGGATGCCTTGTAGAAACACTTGCTTGTTTGTAGATGGGTTAAATCTCGGCACAGACAATTCTTGTAAACTTCTAGAAAGGTATCGGAATCATGTGCTTAATTCTCACAGTCCATCTTTATCTTCCGATTAACTTGCTATTGACATGGAAGTTAATTGAGTTATAAAGCACAAGTATAATAAATCGGATTATCAACTACATGTTCTAATCCTCAAGCTAAAGGGTGGAATTTATCTTATATTTTGTCTAGAAAACTCTTAGAAAGAATCTTCTATTCTATTCAATGAAATCTCATAACTTCAAACTCTCAAGGTTTCCAGTTACTTGGTCTCTGTCATTGCTTACTTCAGAACACCTGATTAGTACTTAAATTTACATATTACTATGCCTTTTTTGGACTAAGTATACTTTGATGGAGTTTAAGTGATGAAATTTTAGGTCCTAAAGTGAACAAAGACTCAAGAATAGCAAATATCACACTTGAGTGTAACACCAGTGCATAAGGGAACAAAATTGGAGAAGGATGGAACTTGAGTACCATGTTCGAATGCCAACTCACGTTCGAACGTTTACTTGAAATATGAGGAGACCAGACTGCTGAGACATGGTGTGTTGCAAGTAAGACAGAAGACTCTGAGGTACTTGAGTACCACGTTCGAACGCCAACTCATGTTCGAACGTCCACTTGATTTGATTGAAGACCAAAGTGATGAGTGCAAAACGCCAAGCTCTGCATGAAGTGTGGAAATGGTTTTCCATAGAAGACCACAGACCACTTGAGTGATATGGTCAAACCCCATCTGGCATTTGAACGCCCCTAAAGCAAAGACAAAAGACACGTTCAAACGTCATACCACGGTCAAACGTCCATAAAGCGAAAACAGAAACAACGTTCGAACGTCATCTACAGACTGCCTGTAGAGTAGTTGGTTTTCACTTTTACTAGGCAGCATACACTATTCATCCTCTCTTATCTTCCCCCTCCCCTTACTTGCCTATAAATACTCCCATTAGGGGAGTTTCAAGATATATTCTTATTCTCTTGTAAAATATGGAGTGAGAGCTTGGTTAGTAGGCTTAGACTACACCAAGAACTAGTAAGAAGTTTGTATGGAGGCTTAGACTCCCACTCATTTTGATTAATCTTAGATGTATGTTATATTTACTTGTATCAAGAGAGTTAGTTCATTTATTGGTTGAGGAAGCAACCCTTCATCTTGTGGTTGAGGAAACAACCCTTCACTTATTGCTTAAGGAAGCAACCCTCCATTTGTTGGTTGAGGAAGCCACCCTCCAAGCAGTGACTAGCTTTCTCCTACTTTCATTGTTTATGTCTTTCACTTCCATTGCTTGATCTTCCTTCTTCTTTAGGGGAGTGAAACTCTTCCACTTTTCTAGAGTTTTACCAAAGTCGTGATTCACTTATTCTTTAGTGAAGATTAGATCTTCATTTATTGCACTTTTCCTTTTAAGTTCTCTACTTGGAGGGATGAGTATCACTTACTTTTTTAGTTTTACTCAAGCCATGAAGAGTGAGTAGCTCCTCATTCACTCTTTAGTAAGAGGTGATGAACATGTATCGATTGTCCGGAAGCTATACTTGTGCATTTCCTTTATGCTTAATGTTTTATATTTCATTTATTGAAGGATTGAATGCATCTAGCAAAGCCAAGTTGTGTAATTGGAGGAGACATTTTATTTTCAAATTGTTGCCTTGCAATTATGTTTTCTGTGTGGTGAGTTTACTAGCCATGCTTCCATAATGAATCGTTCAACCATTTTTGCTAATGAAAGTTTTTTGTTTGAATATTTTTGGATCAATTTATAGTCTACATGGTGGCTTTTCTATGTCGACATTTTGGTGTTAATACTTTGGTTCACTTTCATTACGAAGATCTCATCTTTGTCTCTATTTTTTGTTCTTGAAAATTTTAAAATTTTGGTGCGATAGATTTTATTAGTTTAAGATTATATTTTTAGAGGATATTCTGCCGAAAAATTGAAAGTTTCTTACAAAGTATCCATATTTTGACAAAGTATCCATATTTTGACCTTTTTCATTTCACTAAAGTCATGACATTAAAAATAATCAAACAATCTTCAGCTTAATGCATGTTTATATTCATTGCTTGATTAGTTCATATTTAAAAACTATGTACAGTGCCTTCAGACACGTGATATAGGACAAGTTTAGACTTTCAGTTTAGTACGTATTCGAGTTCGGTACTTGATTATTTCACGTTCAAATTAAATGTTTGATTTTTTTTAGTTGCACCGTACTTTCAGACATGGATTATTGCTAGTCTTTATATATTTTTAAAAAATAAAGTATCAATGTGAGAGAAATAGATGGGGATAAAATAGGAAAGAGAGAGTGAAAGAGTATGGAGAGAGAGAAGGAGAGTAATGGAGTAATAAATGACATTTTAGTCTTAGTAGATTTAAAAATTAGACTTTATAATTTTAACCATTAATTTCAGTGTGAGTCTCAGCATTTATTGGGACTCACTACTTATTCAATAGTCGAAATTATCAAATTTAATTGTTAAATCTAGTTTTTAAGTCTATCTAACATTCCTCTTTTAAAAAAAAATACACTTAGAGTAAAATAAGTTTTCTTAATGTAATTTAGCTCAAATAAGTCTAAATTTTTGTATCAACTTCCAAATTGTTCAAACTCGATTTATTTAGAACTCGAGTAAAATTTGAGTAGCTCAACTATTTTATATATAAACAAACTGAGTTTTATGAGTTTAAACCAAGTCTTTTAAGACTCATTTTTTTAAATAAATTTAAAAAATTGTTCAAACTCAATTTATTTATAACAAGAGTCAAGTTTAAATTTAGTCTTATCTGAGTTGAACTCAAATAGGTCCTCTCAATTAACCCTTGGTTGACGATGGCTAAGCCTTGACAGCCACAAAAGGAGCCAGAGGCTTTTTGTAAGAGAATCATGTTCCATCAATGTATGTGTGTGTGTGAGAGAGAGACAGAGAGAGATAGTTTACTTCCTTAAAAGTTAAAAGGGTCATCAAAAGTCCTTAGAGATTGTTGAAGATTGATTTAACAAATAATTTGGTCGGCCAGTATTGATTGAAGAATAAAATCCTGGTCCTGGTCTATGACCAAGGCCCTCTTTATAAGGGGCCATTGCTCTCTTCCTAACCACCAAATTCAAAAAAGTGTCTCACTTTTCTTGAGAACCATTGCTTTACTTATATGTGCCTCAATAAATTGAGTGATAGAGAATAGAAATGATGATATACAACCATATCATTAAAAAGATATATTGGGTTCACCATGACTTACATTATTTAATCTCCCCCCAATCCCTCAACCCAATAGAGAGAGAGAAATCATTTTCAAGGAAGACTTCTGAGAGTACCCAATAAAATGGGTTTTCTCAACCAGTACTGATGAAACCTCTGTCTAGCATACTCCAAATAATCAAAGTCAATATGGTTCACATACGCCTGTAGAATAGAAAATGATCAATACACATCAAATCTTCATCCCTGTTACGGTATCGAAAAGTTATTTTTCGATAATATAAAAAAAATTACTACAAATTAAGATAGTGCTTATACTTCAATCTTAATGAAATTACAATAAAATGAGACCGTTTCAAATCAATCCTAAAATATTAATGTTATGATCGATCCCAATTTTTTTAGCCATAAACTTTTTTTTTCAACTTATATTAAGACGTAACCTCACCAAATTGACTTAGAATTTCACCCTTATTTTTATAGAAAGTTTCAATACGATATCGACTTTGTTACCGTAAACTTCCCAATCTCTATTCAGGTAAGTATTGGCAGAAGGTGTGAAAATTCATACCGAGATAATACCCCATAAGCCCCAAAACAAATGGTTGGCAAGAGTGTACTTCTCTGCATCATTGGCCAGCTGCTCTACTTCAGTTTCACTTGGTTCATTGCCTACATCCATTATGGAGAAGTCAAGAAGTTTTCTTCAGAATCACACATTTTTTTCAAAAAATTAGCCTCAAAAGTCAAAAATTTGTTATATTATTCAAAGCAAAACTGAGCCCACAAAAGAAATATCGTTTGTGCAGGGTAAGTTTTCAGTCAGTTTCATTAGATTAGACAAAATGCTTGTTACTGGATAAGGATAAGGGCATCTTGTTTAAAGGTGTCATAGTCATAGAGGAAGGCCAAATGTTAGGTACACACAAACCTTATGCTGTTAGAGTGGGAATGGACCATATTTACTAGGTCCGAAAAACAATGGGTTAATTGCTATTTTCAAACATATGACAGAGAAGTTTTAGTAGGATTTGATGAATCAGATTTATTAAAACTATGTTTTCTAGTTGGATTAAGATTAGGTTAATAACGGACGTCAATATATATGTTGTAACTTTTTGGATTTTGATAGATAGTGCAAACCAGCCGCCTTGATGGACTTGTTTTTGATTGTTTATCGCACTGCACGTCCACAACATTAAGCTTAGCAGAAATCTATGGCTTGATATTAACTATGACTGAAATTTTACTAGGAGAATTGGCCTTTCTTCTTTGCATGTATAAACATCAGAAGCTGTGCAATGTGTATACACATCTTGCTTTAGATGAAAAGAAACTTTAAAAACCAAATTCTCAACTCAACAAAACTTCATCCCAGTTATTTGAAGTCAGTTTCATAAATCACGTTTCTCCATTGTGTTCTATCAAGAGACATATTTTTCATTAAACCGTCACCAAAATTCTGCTATTTGATAAAGGTCTAAACCAAACGGACTAACCTGAAGAACTGAGATACCTGCGCACAAATCTGTGGCGCTCTTCGGCACCTATTGTCAAAAGGAGAGAAAAAGAGCAAAACTAATTTAACACCAAGTCTGCAGATTTATTTTTCATACAAATCTAGATGGTAGTGAAGTACAAAGAACACAATGCATAAACACTTTAGCAGTTTCTTACCTGGATATATGCCATAGTCTAAAATATGAGGTGTGTCAGTGTGATAATTGGCTACCATCTCACAGAAATGGTTTGCAAGGTCATAGGCAATAGGATTGTAACTAGCATACTCATAATCCTGCAATTGAAACAAATATAGGGATCAAAATTGCAATATGAAACGTTTACGAATATCTTTCTGCAGATAAATTCTTCTGTCACAATACTAATAAGCAGTTGTATAGCTATAAAACAACAGCTCAAATTGTCCATGCAGAGGGGCACATATTGATTTAATGCAAAATCGCAGAAATTGAATCTTGATAAATTTTATAGCTATAATTTAGACAAGTTTAACATAGTGGAATGAGCAGAGAACCTACAATTAGAGTGATGGAACTTGTCTTTTCGTCGATCATTATGTTACCATATTGCAGATCATTGTGACCAAACACGATTTCTTGATTGTCATGCGACAACTCCTCTTCCAGTGTATCGATTTCTTCTGCCATCGTATCCAAGCCAAATTCCTTTGCATGTTCAGGTGAGCTCAAACATTTGGCCTCATTAAGCCATTTTCTGAGGAAGAATATAAAGTGTCATTACCACCATCTTCAATCTTAAAGGGAAATCTTCAATTTTTGATAGTTGATCAATACCTCATTCTGTACCAGAGGACAACATTCTTTGAACCAGGCATTTCAAGATTATGAAATTCTTTCATTTTAGCTGCTATCAGAGCCGATATTACTGGATCACGAAGGTCACCTGCTGATAGAGTCTGAAATTAAAGATGGTGAAAAGCCATTATCAGGAGATAATCGGTAAGTTTGCTAGACAATTATAGTGGCAAAACTATATTTTTTTCGTGTTTTCAAAATACTCAATACTGTTAACCAACATGTTAACTAATTCATTACAATAAATTGGATCGGATTTTGTAGCTTTTTCTTCTGTAGGATTAGAGAAAAAGGAATACTGAAGGACCATCATTCCAATGAGCAGGTTAAGCTGACCATGATTAGAGAAAAAGGAATACTGAACACATGAAACAGTGGAAAATGAGCAGGTTAAGCTGTTCCTTCTTGAAGAATTACAGTTAAACTTAACTCAGATGAAAAGACTCTTGAACCATACTACTAGTTTAGTATCCTTCAACGATTGCCAATACAACAACTTTGAACCATGATTATTCTTTTAAAAGTACATCGGCGCCATTGATTAAACAATCATAATCATGATTTTGTTATGCTGAAGGACCATCATTCCAATAAATCATCAAAAATCTGTCTTAATCCATCTTATCAATGAAAAAGCCAAAAGTTCTAATAGCTCTGATCACACCTCCCTCACTTTACACCACTTAATCTACTTTGAAAGATGCTTGATACCTTTATTGAAGTGGCTTGTAAATAATTGTACTGATTGAGAAATGGATACATGGAATCATCATCATGCCTAGCCTAGCTAAGATGGTTATTTAAAAACTACCGTGAAGCGGTCAATGGTAAAATTGTTTTATCGTGGCTTAAGTATCAAAGATTCGTGTGGACTTAGATTGCATATACATCTCACACTTCTCAGACCCTAAGGTGGTGGGAGTCTCGGTAAGTCGGTGCTCTGAAAGGAACAATTAACAATCAGATGTGAAACATCAAGGTAGTTATAACATAAAGGTCGCCAATTTTACCCCACTATCAAGTTATATCTCCTTACTTTCTGACAGATCAAAAACATAGACTGGAATTCTCAAAAAAAAAAAAGACTTTATAAATTGTCAAATTTGGCATACCCTGGCATGGATGAACTCCTCAACCCGACCCTCCGGGAACTGCCCGAGAAGCCTCGGTCCATGGCCGTGCTTCGATATGCACTCGAAAGTTTGAATCTCATCGTCCCGGTTAAAGAAAAGGTCAACACCTTCTCCATAAATACGAACTAAAACGGTCCGAATGTCATCTTCTCTCTTTGTAGGCCAGCTTATTTGATAAACCTCATTAGTCATAGCACCACTTAAGTGGATCACTTTCAACTTGTCCATATCAATAACATCCCCCCAATTCGAAGCCAATGACAAAAGTAACTTCATTAATTCCTCCGGCAAACTACCCTCAACAAATCCATTTCTCTTCACTGCCATGAAATACCACTAAAAAAAAAAAGCTTCACCTGAAATAAAAATAAGCAAAACTCCAGTTGAAAACATCATTTCAACAGTATCATCTTCAAGAAACAAGAAATTTGATCAAAACTAAATACCCATATGGATTATTTACAGTAAACCCATTTGATAGAGATCTTCAAAGAGTAAAAACTGAGAAGAATCAGCATAAACCTTGGGAGTTTTTTGACAAAAGTCAGAACAACATTTTAACAGCATCATATTCAAGAAAAAAATAATGAATTGGGTCAAAACTAAAATAACCATAAGCGTTTGATTTACAATAAACCCATTTGAAAGCGATGTTCAAAGATTGAAAAACTGAGAAGAATCAGCAGAAAGAAAATGAAGAACTCGCCAAGAAAAACCCAGAAAAATTGCAGAGCTGAGAATGATTGAAGCCTTGAGTTTTTGACAGAAGGACAAAAAAGGCAGAAATGAGATCAACAGGCCTTTGGTCTATGAAAATTTGAACTCAGAGGTGGACAAAGATGTAGTTCTATATATAGAATTTACGTATAAAGACCAAGAATCTACTTTTCCGCCTTACAAAATTAGAAATTACCGAAAATATCTGACGTTTTGATGGGATTTGTGTGGGTTATATCGGGTTTGTATCTTGTTGTATATTCAATTTTTTTATTTGAGTTATGTCGAGGATTTTTTTAATTAATTTTATTTTCCCACCGCATTGGCATATCGCGTGATATACATGTTCACTTATCACGCATCTGGAAGAACCTAAATGAATATAGACAACCAATAGGAACAGGACACGTGTTAATGAGAAACTGGGCGGACAACTCCCGGGCGGGAATATGAGAGCAACAAAGTGGGGATGAAGTAGACGGCCAAAACTAACAGGATAACGGAACTGTCGGTAAATCGGAATTTATCAAACTATTGGAATTTAACACGTGTAATTTTTGGATTGGCTAATTGTACACACTGACTTTGACTCTTACGAGTAACAATTACTTAGATTGGTAAATTGTCTTTGCTCGCTAAATGCATGATTAGATGCTTTTTAATTAATGGATTCAAGTACGGATAATAATTATAATAATATCATATTATTTATTTAGTTCTTTTTTTTTATCTCTTTTTTTTATCACTATAGGAATCTATCTAATATTATAGTTCAAAAATTAAATTTTCAACTTATAAAAGCACAATAACATTTAAAATTGATTTAATTTTTATTTACTTTAATCCAATAATACAAAATTCATTTCAAAAATCATTTTTCTGTTCAAAAAACTTCATTTTCATTACAAAAACCTCAATGTTAGACAATCCACCAATTTACATATTTACCTCTCTTCTTCACCTATCTCTTTCTTATTTTATTTTTATTTGTTTTATTTTAAATTACTTGATTAAAATAAATAAATTTTAAATATTATACGATCAATGTTTAATTTTTATTATTACAAAAAAATTTTAGACACAAAATTATTATTAGTATTCTATATCCAATGATGTAAACCTATAGAATTGTGATCAATCAAATATTGCAAACCCCCGACATTTATTACAACTCAAAATTGGACCATAATGGAATTTCGGTCTATATCGACACCATAATATCAGATTGGAGAGAAAAATCAAAATTAGAGATTGATAAAAAAAAGCAATGATATGGGCTCATGTGAGTAGATTCTAGTTCTATCATCAGGTATGGGATTGAATATAAGAGAAATTTTACAGAATGTTTGTTATCCTGAAATTTTTTTGTCTTTGGAAGAAGTGATATGTTACGAAGCCGTCTTATTGAAAATAACAAGAGCATCTTTGAATATTCAAAGTTTTATATCTAAAGCGAGTTTTTAAGAAATTGCTCAAGTTTTAGCAAAAGTAACTTTCGGGGGTTGTATCGATTAGTTGAAGGGCCTGAAAGAGAACGTTGTTCTGAGGAGATGATACCGGATTCAAAAGATTAGTGCACCCTTCAAGGCAACATAACAATATTCCCCTGGAAAACAAAAAGAAAAATCTATTTGAGGGAGAAATGAGAGATACTTTGTTCCACCACAGAAAATTATTGGGTTCTTGCATTTCAAAGAATTTCCATGATATATCAAACAATCATTTATAGGGTTTAATAATTCTTAAGAGTGGATTCGTCCTTTTAACTATTTGTATTTGGTCCGTCCATTTTATTTAGTAATAAAGATAATAATGAATAGAAAAAAATAAATGTGTATCTATGGTCAATCTACAGTAGAAGAGAAGGTTCCATCAGAACAATTATTTATTTCGAGGTGCCTTGTCTCTCCTTTTTTTTCATAAGGTTGACACTATCATTAAAATACTCACTGCCCCCTTTAAGTGGACAAATAGAGCGGTAAGTAAGAGTGTTAATCGAGCCGAACTTTACAAGCTTGAGTTTGAGTTTGGCGAGTTTATTTTTTTAACAAGTCTAAAAAATTGTTCAAATTTGGTTCGTTTAAAACACGATTGGAGCTTAAGTAGTTCAACTATTTTACACATAAACGAACCAAATTTTTTGAGCTTGACCGAGTCTTTTAGGCTCATTTTTTTAAATGAGATTAAAAAATTATTCAAACTCGACTCGTTTAAAATACAAGTCAAGTCTGAATAGTTTGTCTCGATTAACATTGGGTCGGGTTTCAAATCATTTTCTCTTTTTCTTGATATGAAATGATTAGATTCCCAAGAAAAGTCCCCAAAGCTCAATGGACGGGGAAGACCGAAGACTGTAGCAAGAACTTTTGTGAACGGTGGAACCCGTTAATGATGGAACCCATTCTAGCAGTAGAAGGTTGTGGTGCCACACTAAAACATAAATATCTATAGTTAATTTTAAATTAAATTGTTTATAATTATTATTCAAGAAAAAAATCAAAGTAATAAAACATAACGAAGTAAACTTTTGTCCCACATGATGCATTTTATTAGAAATAGAGTAACCATACGATACCAATTATTAATATTTTAGTATTAATGATGTAGATCAAATTATAACACAATACTGGATTGTTGGGATCGACGTAAAACGAGCTTGGGCTTATCAAATTGTTTGACTTTTTTTGTACCCAGTTCCACATACATGAGTTTCAAGACAGCAATATTCACTCAAAAATGACTTGACAAAATGAACTCATTGCAATAAACGATGATGGATTTCGAATAAATTTTTTCGTTTAGGACTTGAAAAACTCATTTTTGTCGTTTTCTAATAACTTTTTGTAGCTGAATAACTTATCCGTCTAAAGTTAGAATTAATTTTGATCACTTCTGTCTAAATCCTGATGATTATTAGTTTTTAGTCATATGATTATATTGGAAATTTTCTTTTTTGGCAAAATTTGTAATGGTTACCTAATTATCTAGATATTAATTAATAATATTAAGAGTTTTTTCTATTTTTTCCAATTCTTCTGATATTCTTATGAATCAACAAATTTATTGAAACTTTTATCACTGTTATTCTGTATGAATCAAAAAGTTTAGTGTAAATTTCTGAACTAATATTTTTTCGCAAATCAATGATTTAATTTCATTATATTTTTTGACCATTTTTTATTCATAATATTCGCACTTTTACACACTTTCCTATATCAGTACCATAATGACAATCCTTGGCCCATATAGAATACAAGAATGTCATTTTCAAATGACTTTGGTATTTGAAATTGTAATGATGCAGCTTTGAATACTCCATGTTGTCAAAAGATATCTTGAAATGGGGACATTACATGTTCCATCATTCTCCAACCAATGGTTTGCGCAAGGATAAGACGTTTAAATCGGGAAATAATTCAAATATTGTATAGTAAAAAAAAAGTGAGTTTTTTTTTTTTTTTTGTTGATTGGCTATTTGGTTAATTTTTTAAAAAAAGAAAAAAAAATTGTGATGTTTAAATTGGTAGTCTTGAGGTAGCATCACTCTATGATAGATAGAATCTACTTAATCAAGCTAATAAATACCTTACTATGGATAATTTTCTTCCCCAATTATTATTATTTTGTTGAAGCGTCTTCAATTCTTATTCTTTTTTAGACCCAAATTTAAATTTATTTGAAAACAGTTCAAAAACATCTCCAATCCTATACTCAAAATCCAAACCAAATAAAGAGAGTCAATTTTTAAATCAAATCAATAGAAATTCAAACATTTACTCAAATCACTGATAGATCATTCTCTTTTAAAGTTCTAATTATCATATTACACTTTTCTTTGAATTTGAGTTTGTACTTACAATCAACAGAAAGCCTCTCCTGGATTACCTAGCTTGCCAGCTAGTCTGCCACAATGTTGGCTTCCCTATACACATGCCTTATCTCAAAATCTCCTCACAATTTACGATTTATGTAGATATTTGTGTATATATCTATATATAGAGAGAGAAAGATAGATAGAGACAGAGAGAAAGGGTTGGCATGAAGAAGATGGAAGAACAGCATTCCATCTATACAGGCAAAAATTCCCTTTTAGAGGTATATATGTGTGTATATATCTACATTGAAATGTGGAGAGAAAGAGAGAGGTAATACCTTCAACAATGGGGACCAATAAGCCCCGTTTGCTGTGGGAGGGGACCAGGTTGAAGTGGAGACAAAATGGGATAAAAAAAACCTAAATTTTTGTACTGTTACGGCTTTTATGTAATTACACCTACTATCCTATTGATGGCTTAATTATCCCAAAGTTCAGGTGGGATAAATGGGTGAATTCCTACAGGTCGAACAATTATCCCATCAAAAAATTTGGATCCAAACCTAAAATTTATGGGGCTCCCGACTTTTTTAACTCACATTATCCCACTTTATCCACCCAAACAACCCCCCCGCGAAGGGACTACCATCGGTTGGATTGTGCTGGGATTGCCTACAACCACAATATCAGTCAAATTGTTGGCCCGGCCGGCCACCCTATCTGAGTCCGAAAATGTTGGTCCAATACCAGATCACCCGGCCCATTTCAACCCCTTCAAGAACGTATCCATTTACCA